CAGAAAATAACAAATTTAAAATTAAAATTATACCAATTATAACTAAAAGTAAAAACATGCAAAAAACAAGTATATGACGTCAAAAAAAAAATAAACGAAATGAAGGTTGAAACTCTGTAAGTGTTGCAATGCAGAACAGATAGGGCCTTTGCTCAGCTATGTGTTTACTACCCCTGGGGGTAGTAAACGCTGATATTCTGCAAATGCCTTTGCGTCCTTCGCACGTCAGTAACAGCAGTGTGTTCCATTTTAAATTTGATAAGCAGGCTAATGTTTCTAAGGTATGTTACGCTAGAAATCCACCATAACCAAGGTATATTATTTGATACCATTATGCATACTAATAGAAAAATAAATGAAAAAAAATAATAATAAAATAAAATAGTTAACATTAGGAGGATCGATATTCGCGCGATCCTAAATCCTGACGAGAAGTATTGCTCTGAGTTTAAAACGATAGTATCAATTAAATAAATTGTTTAAAAATATGAAAATGGATGGATGGGTATTTGTAGTTACATAATGGTTCAATAGATGTCGCTATATGACACAGATAAAATATAGTCTGAGAGAAAGAAGGAAAAAATTGGTGTTAAGTTTTATAATTATACGCGCGCTGGATGTCATTAATTTCAGTTTTTTATGTAACCATCCTTTCTTCATAACATTTGAACTTCTTACCCTATGTTTTTAATTTAATTCAAGTAAAAAGAATTACATTGAAACTCTGTATATTTAATATAGATGTTATAGTTTGCTCACATAATGTTATTTTATAAAGATATGTTAGTTAATTAATTTAATACTAGTTTTCGCCCGTGACTCTCACCGTAAGGAATATTGAAAAACCCAAATTATGTATTATACCAGATTATTCTCTACATATAGCAAATTTTATCGCGATCCGTTTAGCAGTATTCAAACAGCAAAATATAAACACTAACAAACATCCATCCATCTAAACTTTGGCATTTATAATATTAGCACGATTATTCTTTAAGTAATAAATAAAACATAGTCTTACTAATATTATAAATGCGAAAGTTTGGATGGATGGATGTTTGTTGGAGTTTGTAACCTAAACAGCTGAATAGATCTAGATGAAATTTGATATAGATGTAGAACATAGTCTGGAAGAACACATAGGTTTTTTTTTTAATTTCACGCGGACGGAGTCGCGGGCGAAAGCTAGTAATCAACATTTTTAACCTTTTTTCTAGACTCCACGGATCATATGAAGCGTTAAAGGGCGGTTCCACTTGCGAGGCAATGGAGGACTTCACCGGCGGAGTTACTGAGATGTACGATGTAGCGGAACTGCCCCCTAACTTCTATACTATACTACTAAAGGCGTATGAAAGAAACTCTCTGATGGGATGCAGTATTGAGGTAATGTTTCTTTAATATAAAAACTATTTAGAAAAAAAAAATAACTCATAGTCCCCCAGTTAAATTACAGTTAAGAAAGTTGTCAAAACCGTTCGTCAAATTAAAAAAAAAATTAAAATCACACTATCTATCTGAGAGTCCTCTAGCGCCCAAATTAAGCAACTTTGGATAGAGGTAAGTTAGGTTAAATCCGAATCCGTTGAAGTCCAGTAAAATAGGGTGAACAGAACAATAAAGATATATTTTATAGTTATTCTATATACAATACTAGCTGTTCCCATGCGGCTTCATCCGAATAAAATTATAAAAAATTTCTATTCTATTGTTCACATTTGTCAAATTCTCAATTGCAAATTTCACAATTACCCTTACCATAATAACCTTGCTTCCTTTATTTTGACTGCTTGTAGTTTATGATCTCCCCACATGAAGCGTTTTTCCAATTTATTTACCCCCAATGTTTGATAGCTTGAAAATATACAGTCTAAAGCGTGTCGTGAGTGCATTTTTAAAGAGAGAATTATACAAAAATATGCTGCGACTTATTGCGTATACAATACGTTCCCGTGCGGCTTCATCGAATGAGCTTATAAAAACTTTATTTTATTGTTTACATTTGTCAAATTAGTAATTACAAATGTCAAAATGACATGACATGACATGACAACCTTGCTTCCTTGATGTTGGCAGCAACTTATGGTCTCTTTCCCACATTAGGGTTTTTATCCAAAATATTTGCCCCCTAAGTTTAATGGCGTGAAAATAGCCTACAGCGTGAAGTGTAGGACTTTTCATTAAAAAAATAATTATTCAAAAACATGCTGTAATTGACATCTTAAGCAACAAAGAAGTGTGTGTTTACGATTTATTATAATAGTAGAGATATATGTACCTTTCAGCCGGACCCTAACATCCTGGAGGCGGAGACCCCGGCGGGTCTGATCCGGGGCCACGCGTACTCCGTCACCCGCGTCAAGTACGTGGACATCGAGACTCCGGGCCGCGCCGGCAAGATCCCCCTGCTGCGCCTCCGCAACCCCTGGGGCAACGAGGCCGAGTGGAACGGACCCTGGAGCGACAAGTTAGTATACTACGCCTCTACTCTAAAATCTAAAATTTTACTAATATTATAGACTGATGCTCACAACTTGGTAGTTCAACAATGGTAGAGCCCGCTTTAACATGTTCGCACTGTAGGGCCGGCTCGCCCCCAACAATACCACGACCACACAGAAAACAGGCGTGAAGTGAAAGCATACCGCGTACAGTCTGATGAGTGTGGTGCCGGAGGCCTAATTTTAGTCCCTTTTCCTTTCCACCCTTTTCTTAATAGGAAAGGATGGAAAGGAAAAATGGATTTGACAGTGGAGGAGACGTATAGTAAGGGGAAATGTCCTTTTTATGTGCGTCTCCTCAGTCAATGAAGGGTAGGCAACGCATCTGCAATTGCGGATGTTTATGGGCAGCGGTGACTTGCCATTTCGGTGGATTCAGTTGGCTTCGTTTGCCACCTTGGCCGTGGAAAATAAAAAAAAAGTAATAAAAAAGGTGGCCTACGTTACTTACAGATAAATTACCTTTCCAACGGTGAAAGAATTTTTAAAATCAGCCTAGTAGTTTTTGAGTTATTTCAATATGTACGAAAATACAAATCATCAATTTATTTACTTCTTAAGTTTAATAGCGTGAAAGTTAGCCTAAAGCGTGTCGTAAGTGGAAAGTATTACTCAAAAAAAATATGCTGTGATTGCTGACATCCTACGCCTCGAAGTAGTGTGTGTTTTCGCTTTATTATATTAGTACTAACTTTCGCCTGCGACTCCGTCCTCGTGGAATTAAAAAAAAACAAAAGTAGCCTATGTGTTCTTCCAGACTATCTTCTACATCTATACCAAATTTCAACGAAATCTGTTTAGCCGTTTAGGTTACAAACTCTAACAAACATCCATCTATCCATCAATCCATCCATCCATCCATCCATCCATCCATCCATCCATCCATCTATCCATCCATCCATCCATCCATCCATCCATCCATCCATCCATCCATCTATCCATCCATCCATCCATCCATCTAAACTTTCGCATTTATAATATTAGTATGATAGATAAGATCATTGTATTTTCCTAATAATTATAAAATAATGTTTTCAGGTCACCAGAATGGCGTTTTATTCCCGAGTCTGAGAAGGAAGAACTCGGTCTGACGTTTGATGACGACGGAGAGTTCTGGATGTCCTTCAAGGACTTTGTTAATCATTTCTCAAGGTAATTGGTTATTTAAATAAAAAAAAAAACAAGTTCTAATCTCGATAACTGTATTTGTTTTAAATTTTTATAAATGTTTTTTAAGTATATTCTAAATTAATAGTTACTAGCTATTGCTCGCGACTTCGTCCGACAGAATTAAAAATGTAGTTACTGAGTGATAATGTGGCTTTTTCGAGTTATTTCAATACTACAAAAATCTAAAAAATACAAATCTCCCTTTTTAAGATATAGATATAGATTAAATAAATCTTTGTTTTAAAACGCAATCAATAGATGGCGCTTTTCCAACTTTGCATCCTAACAGGCAAGTTTTCTTTAAATTCGTTGTTTAATTCATTTGCTTATGATTTTTCATATATTTTCAGGGTGGAGATCTGCAACTTAAACCCTGACTCCCTGGACCCTGAGGAGTGTCCTGAAGGATGCACCAAGAAGTGGGAGATGTCCGTCTTCGAGGGAGAGTGGGTCAGAGGTAGTTATAGAATTTAATTATCTAAAAGGAACATATATGAAGGGGAAATAACTTTTCTTCTGAAATTATTGTCTACAAAACTAGTAATTTTGCTATTTTAGTGCCAAGTTATGGTAAAAAAATAAAATAAATATGTTGTAAAGTTTTTTTGCAAATTAATATGGTCTTTGTGTACTTTTTTATTAGGTTTTTATTTAAAACTATTTCTTTGCAGGTGTAACTGCGGGCGGTTGTAGGAATTATTTGGAGAGTTTCTGGAAGAATCCTCAGTACACTGTTACATTGAAAGACGTGGATGAAGGCGATGATGAGAACAAATGTACTGTAAGTATTGTAACCGTAGGCTTACACTGTTGATAAAATCTATACTATTATTATAAAGAGGAAAATTTGTACTTTTTGTATGTATTGAATTAACTTAAAAACTACTGGGCCAGATTTTAAAAATTCTTTCACAGTTAAAAAGCTATATAATCAGTGAAAAGCATAGGCTTCATTTTTTTTAATTTCATGCGGGAAAAGTCGCACTTGTTCTTGTTTGGGACTTTGCTGAATTACCTTTCTAACTGAAAGAATTTTTAAAATCGCCTCAGTAGTTTTGAGTTATTTTAATACAAAAATACTAATCTTTCTTCTTTATATTAGTACTAGCTTTCGTCCGCGACTCCGTCCGCGTGAAATTAAAAAACTAAAGCAAGGACCTTATGTGTTCTTCCAGACTATTTTCTACAGATATGCCAAATTTCGTCGACATCCGTTCAGCTGTTTAGGCTACAAACTCTAACATACATCCATCCATCTAAACTTTCGCATTTATAATATTAGTATTAGTATGATTAATAAATACAGTGGAACCTCGATAAGTTAAAGTCCAAAGGAAACACAAAATGTTTTAAGTTATCAAGCGTCCGTTATAGTGGTTTTGGGCTCTGATGGGAAGGAAACATATTTTTTGAAGTTTGAAGTTCTACTGTGTGAGTTTCTCAAGTTTAACTAATTCCGCAGATAATAGTGGCGCTGATGCAGAAGAACAGGCGTTCTCAGCGTCACCAGGGTCTGGAGTGCCTCACGGTGGGGTTCGCGGTGTACCGCTTGCCGGACTACGGACACGTGCCCAAGCCACTGGACGTCAACTTCTTCAAATACAACGCCTCAGTCGGCAGATCGCAGGCTTTTATTAACCTAAGAGAAGTTAGCGCGAGGTGAGGTTATTATATTTTAACTAATACTAGCTTTCGCCCGCGACTCCGTCTGCGTGGAATTAAAAAAAATCTAGTGTAACTATGTGTCATTCACGACTATCCTCTACATTTTTTTTATAATATAAAGAAGCTAACGAGCAAGCGGCCTGAATCCACCGAAATGGAAAGCGACCGCTGCCCATAGACATCCGCAATTGCAGCATTGCCTACCCTTCATTGACGGAGGAGACGCACATAAAGAGGACATTTCCCCTTCCTATGCGTCTCTTCCACCGTCACATCCACTTTTCCTTCCCATCCTTTCCTCTTATGAAAAGGGTGGAAAGGGAAAGGGACTAAAACTAGGCCTCCTACACCACATTCATCAGACTGTACGCGGAATTGCTTCCACTTCACGCCTGTTTTGTGTGGTCGTGGTATTGTTGGGGGCGAGCCGACCCTGCAGTGCGAAGATGTTAAAGCGGGCTCTACCACTGTTAAACACATCTATACCAAATGTCAATAAGATTTGTTTTGTTCATCCGTTCAGGTTACAAAACATCCATCCATCTAAACTTTCGCATTTATAATATTAGTATGATTTAGAGCACAAAATATATACTTAAAAGCTAAGACAAGAATAGCTTAAGGGTTTTATTGCTATGAGCAAATGTTAATACTAGATTTTGCCACTAACTTCGTATGTAACTAAAAATAGTAAATAAGTAAGTCTTCCAAAGTAATATACATCTGTGACATATTTTATCAAGATATGTTTATAGTTTAGGCTACTACTCTAATATTTATTCAAACTCTCACATTGATAAGATAAGTAAGATTATTAAAATAATAAAACGTAAACACACATTATTATGTACGATTTTAACAATCTTACTAATATTGTAAATGCGGAAGTTTGGAAGGATGTTTGTAGCCTCAACTACCGAATGGATCTGAAATTTAACATAGATGTAAAGGATAGTGTATAAGACAACATAACATACTTACTTTTGTTTTTTCAATTCCGTGGGGACGGAGTCGCGGGCGAAAACTAGTTTTGTCATTTTTTTTTTTATAATAAACTTGTTGACATTTGTAATATTTTTTAAATAATTACTTGTTAATCGTCAACGAGTATACTAATATTATGCAAATTATATTTTCTCATATCTTTATTTTCTTATTTTTATATATAATATATTTCACATGATTTTCTTAAAAAAAATAACAAAAAGCATATTATATAAAAAAATAGAAGTCCATCGGCTGCGGAATCCGATGACTCAAGCAACCAGTGGTCAGGGCAGAGACAGGAACCTCCTCACTATTCGTGCGGTTTCTAAAATAACCGCCTTTTGAATCGGGCCCTTAATCCCACTATCTAGCAAGAGCTTCTTGAGGTGTTTTGCAGATTTAACTATTAGCTTTTCAAATAAACTCAAAAACTACTATTCTGAAATTATAATGTATCTCGATTATAGAAATATTTTGGTTCATACTTGTGAAGATACTACTTTGAATAGATTACTTTGGCTTCTACATAAATTGATATTTTTATGATATTTCTTCAATCTTAGCAATATTAGAAAATATGAATTAACAGATTTTATATGTTATTTTGTACTTTCTAAGGTTCAAATTCGAGCCTGGTTCGTACGTGATCGTGCCCTCCACCTTCGAGCCTGATGAAGAAGGGGAGTTCCTGCTGCGAGTCTTCTCTGAAAAGGATAACAATATGACGTCAGTATATATAAATTATATTTTTTAATACTAATATAAATAACTTGACTGCTGGACCTATTTCAATAAATAACGTTATCACTGACTAACATGGGATATGTTTATTTAAAATTTATTACCGCGCGGATAAAGACGCGGGCAACTACTAGTATAGATAAAACAAAGATTTCCTGTCTGTCTATGTATTTTTAGATGCATTTTTTAATAAGAAGAGTAATTCAAGAGGAAGGTTTATATGTATTACACTAGTGTTTGCTCGCGACTTTGTCCGTGTGAATTTAAAAAAAGTTATAAAAATGCACCCTATGTTACTTACTGATAACGTTGGTTTATAATGTTGAAAGAATTTTTAAATCAGCCTGGGCTGTAATGTTAAGAGGAAAAATTTGTATTTTTGTATTGAAATAACTCAAAAACTACCAGTAGTTTTTGAGTAATAATAAAGCAATAAATAAATTAATTAAATGAATACTTGGCTTTCTAAGCCGCTTACTATCTGATAGACTTTATTTGTAAGGAATTTGAAGTTTAAACCTAGTCTATTTTTTTCTAGTCCAACGAATTTAACAGCGATCTGTAGTTATAAAAATAACAAGTAAATATGTATGTTATATAAGTGACATTTAAGTATTCCGTTAGTCTAATTTAGGCTGTTAATGAAGTTTATAAATAATAAATAAATATGTATTTTTCAGTGAGAACGACGAAGATGTGGGAATGGGCGATGTTGATGACAGGGTAAGTGTTCTGACACTCGATGGATTTTTTTTTATATCATAAGGTGGCAAACGAGCAAGCGGCCACCTGAATCCGCCAAAATGGCGAAGCGAACAGTGCCCATAGACATCCGCAATTGCAGATGCGTTGCCTACCCTTATCCGACAAAGAAGACGCACATAAAGAGGATATTTCCCCTTCCTATGCATCTCCTCCGCCGTCAAATATAAGAAAAGGGTGGTAAAGAGAAATGGACTTAAATTAGGTTTCCGGCACAACACTCATCAGACGAAACACGGAATTGCTTCCACTTCACGGCTGTCTTCTGTGTGGTGGTGATATACCGGGCGAGCCGGCCTTCTAGTGCTAAGATGTTAAAACGGGCTCTACCACTCTTACAGTGATAGAGCCAGCTTGGCATTTAATTTTTTTTTGTTTTTCCGTATTTTAGTGGTACATAGTTATTTTTAAATTATTCCAGGTGAAGGAAATAGCCCCGAACCCGGAGCCCGCGGACCCAGTGCGGGACTTCTTCAATCGGCTCGCGGGAGAAGATGGAGAAGTAGATTGGCAGGAGTTGAAAGAGATATTGGATTACGCTATGAGAGAAGGTAAGAGTATATTAAGACATTGTAATTAATAACTATTAATAATTCATGAATAATCTTTATTGTTAAGTTTATCTTTACTGGATTAAAACCAGAGATTCATAAAATGTATAGAGTAAGCATAGTTGATACTTCACTTGAAATATTTTTCATATAATCACAAACAAACAAATAATTCAAACCTTAAGAAGCATCTTGACGTGTCAATTATGACATCGAGATGTTACCTTACAAAGAAGTTACCAGTGAAAAAATGTTCCCTATGTCTACTTTATATATTTCATTAATTTCTGCTTAAAACCCATATGGAAAGTCTATAAAGTTCTCTAAACTCTGTATACATCTGTCTCTTTATTCCGCCTACGTTACATCTTTTGTCTCTTTCGTGTAACGGAATTTGTATGACCGTGACGCATACTTAAATTTTATACATCAAGTCTATTAAGAATGGTTATATTGAAATGGTTTTTATTTTATTGATTTGTTAATTTTCTTTATAATTTGATCCTGCATGCTAATGGTATTTGGGACATACGCATATTGTTAATAACAATATAATTTGAAATATTCTTAAATTATTACATGATTTTTTATATGTAAGAAAAAAAATCTGTTAACTATGGGTATCTACTGTGACAGGGTTAGACCTGAAATTAACAAATTCTTAAACTTAACTGTAAATTAACATCAAAGGTTATAACTTAATTTCAATAATTTTATGGAAAAATGGTTTTAAACATATAAATAATGATTTTAACATTTATGTAATATTATATTTACTAGTTGACAACCCTATTTTTTTGTTACCAAATTGTTTTAAAATGCCCATTTTGAGTTTTTCAATGTGATAACGCTTTTGTGCCTATACCAACGCTTGTCTGTGTTTGCGTCACGCGAGTTAATATATGTAAGTATGTTATGTAAATAATTTATATGTTGTAGATAGCTTATATACATTTGTTATTTTGTAACTAAATCTTTTTTTGTTTATTTTTGTTCTTTTTTTGTTTAAGTATGCTTCATTATAAATTATTTAAATTTATTACAAAGTAAATACAAGTTGGAATATCGATTCGACTCCTTATATATTTTATATTTTGTTTTTTAAATATTAGTAATGTTTATTCTTACTTAGGATCACTAAATTTATATTATTAGCATATACGTGCGCTTTGCAACTTTGACCTGTCATGATGTATGGATCTGAATGTTGGGCAGTAAAAGGAACGGATGAAAGGAAACTACATATGACAGAAATGAGAATGTTAAGATGGATGTGTGGGGTAACACGGATGGATAAGATACGAAATGAGTATATTAGAGGAAGTTTGAGAGTAGCCCCCGTAGTAGGGAAGGTAAGGAGTAAAAGGTTAGCATGGTATGGGCATGTTATGAGGAGGGATGAATCGCATGTTACAAGAATGTTAGTTATGAGTGTGGAGGTACATCGGTAGAGGTAGACCTAGAAAGAGATGGATGGATTGTGTAAAGGGTGACATGATCAAAAAGGGAGTGATGTCTGAGATGACGTATGATAGAGTTATGTGGAGGACAAAAACCTGTTGCGCAGACACTACGGGAGTAGGATAAGGAGATGATGATGATGTGCGCTTTGCAACTTTTCAGTAGTTTTAATAAATTCAGAATATAGTCTTACTTTTCACTTGTTGTTATTTAATTTTATTAGATTTCATTCTATAGTAGTGCTGAAAATGTACAATTTAGTGTTGCTTTATCTTTATTTTTTTAAATAAGTTCTTTTATTTTTTAATACTAGTTGATT